AGGGGGGTCGTGTTCCAGGCATGTGTTCCCTTTGCATTTCCGGGTGTGTGTGTGTGTGGGGGGAGATTACAGCCCTTGCTTAGAGGCAAAGTGATTAATTAACAAACTGATTGTTTTTTCCAGCCCATTGAGATACTTATATGGCTTGGTCCAAGGTCTGTCATCTTGGAGCTATGGGTGTGAGGGGACCTGAAGGGCACAAGGGTTATGCAGATAAAATGGAGAAAGAGTCCTGCAGCTCTTCTGAGGGCAGAGTGTGTACATCCAGCCTGCTTTAGGCTTTGCTTATCTCCACTGGTAGCACGTTAGGGGAGAAGGGTGAGGCGGTAACTGCAGAAAGCTCCTTCAAAAGCTTTACACTCCACTCTCACTACAAGAATCACACCACTAACCTCTTCAGGCTGAACTAGCCAGCAGCCTCGGGGGGACGGGACCTAGATTCAGCAGCTCCCTCCTTCCTCTCTTCTCCCTCCTGAGGAGCTCACTTTCCCTTAGTGACTCAAAAACTGTCCACCAGGAGCAACAGAGGGTCCTGTGGCACCTTTAAGACTAACAGAAGTATTGGGAGCACTTCTGTTAGTCTTAAAGGTGCCACAGGACCCTCTGTTGCTTTTTACAGATTCAGACTTACCCGGCTACCCCTCTGATACTTGACACCAGGAGCAGTGTAGGAAAAGCCCTTTTGCAACAAAGAGATAAGGCTCCCGGCAGGGACCTGTGGCTGAGGCCATTGATGTTAATTGCTTCTGAGGGCTTCCCCAGCCAGGTCTGCATCAGGGTGCTTTGCACAGAAGAGGCATGGCCATGCTTGCTCAGAACAGAGGTCAGTGCAGCTGCCTGCAGAGCTCCAGGTGGAAGTGGCATTGACAGGCAGTGAATCCAGGGTGTTGGCCACAGTGCTGGGGAGAGCCCATCCCAGCTTGTGAGTAAAATTACCTGATGCTACACAGCCAGAAACAGCTGCCAAGGTGCAGCATGTACTCAGAGCTGGCTACTCGCCGACAACAGGTTTTTCCCATCTCAGGTCACAGAGCATTACGTGGATGTTTTATACAATCAAAGTCTCTGTTTCCAGAGCAGCTGGTGAGCAGCACCGGCGTCTCTTTGAAGCACAAGGCTGCTGTCCATTCTCGGCCTTGAGGAAATGGATGCACATCTCCCAAGTGACAGCTGGCTCTGCCATCTAAGCCTTGCATTGGGTTGTTCTGTCTGTTCTCTAATGTGGTTGATTCAGAAAGGGAGTGAGTGTAGCACTAGCAAAAGTTTTTTGAATGACAGCCCTGAACAATGATGCCTGCTTCTCTCATGGAGATCAAGCTCCACTATACTGTTTGCTAATGTACCTCACCCTTGCCTCAGAGGTACTACTTCTAGGGAGTTCATAGCCTTTCTCCTGAGACTGCCAGCAAGGGCTCAATGAGTGCCAGTCCTGCTGGTAGTTTTAGGATGCATAAATTAACCAAGACTCTTCACCCCTGTCCCAAATCTGGTGCCAGAAGATAATTTTTGGCCATCACTGTGTCAGGCTGGCTTTGAACAAGAAGAGATAGTCACTAAAATTCCTTCCCCAATTTCTTCAGCCACCCAAGTTCCCCTCTGACTGCTGGAGTTGGGGTATTTCCCCTCTAGAAAACCACTCTAGAAACCTGGTTAGAGGTGGGGAGTAGGACAACCCTAGGAGAGAAGCACAAACCTCCATGAATGTTTCTTGAAAATAAATATTTTCTTTTGGAGCCAGCCCCATGAGGCCTCACGAGGCCATAGAGCAGTCCAAGATGGGCTGTTGATTATTTTTGGGGTGGAAGGGAGGCAAGGGACATGGCCAATGGTAAGTGGGAGTCAGGGATTAAATGTGTTTTCAGTTGGCATCAACTAGCAGCTTCCTGGGCCTGTGGTACATAGTTTTCTCCAAAGGACAATTCCCTTTGTTCCCAACCAATGAGTGGAGTAAAGTCCAAGCATCTATGGAGGTAAACATCCATTCTCTCAAAAATGGATGGACAATCCCTGGGTGGGAGAGGGGGGTATTTACATTTGGGCCCCATTATTGCAGACAGGTATTTGTGTCATGTGAGTGGAGGAAGGACGATTTTCTGAGTTGACGAGGCAGATTTGATGCACTGCATGGTGGAAACGAGGGGATTTTAATTAGCACCATGTGTGAGGATGCAGAGACTAGCATGTGAATCCAGCACCGGAGCAAAATGTCAGGCTCATCCCCTCGCGAGTGGGGACTTGCATTCTCTGAAACAGGGAGCCTCCCACTTGACTAGCCTGTGGGATTGCCCCAGGATTAGAATAGCCAGGCCTAATGACACACTGTACAAGATCATGGATTATTTTACATAGGCAGGAGCATCTTTCCCAATAGGAAATGGGGCCTCTATGTACATGTGTTATGTGTAGCTAGAGGAGTGCAGGAGGCAACCATTTTTGAGTGAAGAGGTCCCATGAGGCTCTTCTCTAAACAAGCACCTGCCCCATGGGCCTGTGAGCTGGGACGAGATGACAAACATCAGGAGGTGCCGTCTCTGCCTCCCCCCTCACAACACCAGTAGTTGAAGTCTATTGACTCTTTGCTTCCTCATGTCCTGTTTCAATCCCCCCTCCCCTCTCCAGAGTTGGTGGAGGGAGCTGGGGAACAGGCTTCCCCGGATAGGGCAGAGAGCGTAACTGCTCTGGGGCCCACATTCCCTCCAGCCCCTTCTGCAAGTGCATGAGCGTGAGCACGCTCTGGTACTTCCTACCGAGAAAACAAAAACAGAGAAACAGGTGACTGATTAAAAGAGTTTCCCCCTCTGTACATGAGTCTGCAGACAGGCCGACAGCTGGACGTTAAATAATTCTTCCATAATAAATGATTGGAGATAAAAGCCAGCCCCTGCTGCTGTTTGGATTGCTCTGTCTGCGTCTTTGTTTCTAGTTTGTTCCCCGGCCGCTGTGGGCTGGCACCAGTGCCGTCAGACCTTGGCCTCTAGCATTTCTAGGAAGAGTTTGTGCATGGGGACCTTGCCCTGCAGTTTGATGCTGTAGAAGTGCTGCACCGCTTTGGCGGCCGTCTGCCGCAGGAGGGGCAAGGTCAGCAGCAGCTTGCCCGCCCGCCGCGGCTCCTCATGGCGCTGACTCAGCTCGTAGTCCTGCAGGGCTTCATGGAGAAGGTCCTGGAGTTTCTGCACCGCCTCCATGTCCTCTATGTGCATGGAATCTGTGCGGGGGGATGAACAGCAAAGAGCAACGGTCAAAAAACAGAACTGCATTTTTCATGTGAATCTAAGGCTTTGTCAATGCTGCGGCTGCTGGAAAGTAGCTCAGGGCCCATGTGAGAAGAGCTGGCAGGGTGGGTGTGCCCCCAGCATGGCTGCCTGTGCCAGGCTTTGCAGCACTCTGGCAGTGGGTGCTCAGGGGTCACTAGGGTTGCAAAGGGTGGCTGGTGAATTGCATTATCAACAAACCACTTCTACAGGTGGGCTAAAGAGCTGTGCAAGAACGATGCCAGCCTGAGGTTAGGCTGGGTACTTGGCTACTCCTCTGCTTACCAGCCCTCTGTGTTCCTGAGGGGGAGCGGCATGAACAGTGAGGGGCTGCTGCTATGCCACCAATCAGAAGTGATCGCAGTAGGTATAATTAACACTTCCACAGAGCTTCATCTGTATGAACTAATGGCTGAGAAGCTGCTTGGGGTGGCAGAGAGATGGAAACGCTTCCTGGAGTACTGGCAGGACCATACCCAGCTCAGGACATGGTGGAGCAGAGGCTCACAGAGCAGCGATACTGTGGTTTTTAACCAGCAAAAATAAAACTATCCTTTCTTCACAGTCCCCCCCCCGTTTGCTGAGCAGTGTGACTGGAGTGGCTGTACAATCTAGTTGAGGCACATGGGCAGCTGCTACCACCACGCTTTTGCCCTTGAGGTGAGTGCTTACAATCGTACTTTGCTGGTCTCAGTGTGCTTTACAGATAAGCCTCAAACCCCAGCTGAGAGGGAGGTGTGTTACAGATGGGGAAACTGAGGCACGGAGCTGCTAAGTGACTTGTCCAAAGGTGCAGCGAGTCAGCTTCAAAGGAGAACACCAGATCTGACTCCTTATCACTAGCTCTATGTCCCAGCTCACACTCCCTGTGTTCATTCCCTTAGGGGCAGTGGGATCAGATGGAAGCGTGTACCTTGCTGTGCTTTATATACCAGGTACTCTTGGAGTGGGGTTGCTGTTGTATGGTAGGTGAATCAGAGTAACAGTGCAGCTTCTCTTTGCCAGCTGATTTCTATAGGCTGAAGAGCCTTAGCAGCAATGTATTTCCCATTTCCTCGCCTCTGTGTTTCTTTTATAAAGACCCAGCCGCACCCCAAACCCATTCTCTATGCTAAGAAGAGCTCCAAATCTGCAGCGGCCTGCAAAAACTAAAATAACATTGCAGGATTAATTTCCCAGCAATCCATCAGCGAGCCAGTGTTGATTGCATTGATAAACTGTTAATTACAAAATCAATGGCTATGAATTTTTACAGCTGCCAGAGCACCAAGGAGGAGGGAGGCTGCCAGGCTGTGGCCCACAGGGGCACATGGCTTGGTAATCTAAGGACTCCCTCCTAATGTGCATTCAGCAAGAGCCATGCCTGCATTTCTGCAGAGCTCCGTGGATGGGGGACAGAGTGCACATGTGATAATGGACAGCCAGTCTGTCGAAGTTGCTGCAAACAGGGCCTATTACCTCCCCCAACAACAAAAGTTTAGTTTAAGTTGGCACTGGGGCCCCATAGGAGTAGGGGTCTCCATGTTCTACCATCACAGAATTTGTGGCACAGTTCACCCCTTAGAATCATAGACTATCAGGGTTGAACGGGACCTCAGGAGGTCACCTAGGCCAGGGGTCTCAAACACACGGCCCAGGGGCTGCATGCAGCCCGCAGGGTTGTTTTCTGCAGCCCGCAAGCTCCTCCCAGGCCCCCAAAGCATTTACCTAGAGCGGCTCCAGCCCGATGCGCACCGGGAGAAGGGCAGGCCCCCTGCCTGCCCTGCCCCCTGCTGCTCCGGGAAGCGGCCGGAACGTGAGGGCATAAGGCTCTGTGTGTTGCTCTTGCTTCAGACAGTGCCCCAGCAGCTCCCATTGGCCGCAGTTCCCCGTTCCTGGCCAATGGGAGCTGCTGGGGATGGTGCCTGAAGCAACAGCAACACACAGACCCCTGTGCCCTTCCTCCCACAGGTTTTGGCCACTTCCCGGAGCGGTGTGGGGACAGGCAGACAGGCGGCCTGCCCTGCCCCCAGTGCGTGTCGGGCCGGAGCCTGCCCCCTCCAGCCCCTCCTGCAGCCCAACCCACTCCTGCACCCCACACCTCAACTCCCTGCCCTGAGCCCCCACCACACCCCTCCTGCCCTCCCTGGGGGCAGGAAGGGGCAGAGTTGGGTGGGGATTTCAGGGAAGGGGTTGGAATGGGGGGCAGGGCCTCATGGAAGGGGTGGGGGGGGGCGGGGCCAAGGGTGGCAGAGGGAGGTGTCAGTAATGCAGTCCTCAGCCAATGTACTAGTCCTCATGTGGCCCTTGTGGTCATTTGAGTTTGAGACCCCTGATCTAGTCCAACCCCCCTGCTCAAAGCAGGACCAATCCCCAGACAGATTTTTGCCCCCGATCCCTAAATGGCCCCTTCAAGGAGAACTCACAACCCTGGGTTTAGCAGGCCAATGCTCAAACCACTGAGCTATCTCTCCCCCCTTGCTGCAGAACTGTGCTCAAATCACCTCAGGACTATGTCTTCAGGTGGGGCAGCTGCAGGAAATAAAGGGATAAGGTTACGGACAGGATGAGATGCCCCTAACTAACTAGGGCTCTGGGCTAAACTGCAGGGAACCCCTCAGCACTAGAATTTAAATGAATCTCTGCCCCTTTGGGTTTTTCCCCTTCCTCTGAATGCTTAGGCTCTGGGTGGCAGTGGCTGACACTGTGGCGCACACAGCACGGAGTAATGGCAATTGGCGAGTCAGAACCTGCTCCCTGCCGGGATGTTTAGAATGAAGTATTGGGAAATGGTGGTCTTCACTGCTCTTTATCTGTTGTTATTCTCCAAATAAAACCACACTCATTCCCTCCAGTAGTCCCACACAGCATCTCCTTGAAGCTTTACACACAAAAAGGGTCCGTGATCTGCCAGGGCTCCAGCAATGGAAGCTGTCTCCCAGCAATCCCCTGTCTGTGCCCAGCTGAGTCACTCGGCTTCTTCACATAGACTTTAAGGCTGGAAGGGACCATTGTGATCATCTAGTCTGACCTCCTGCACATTGCAGGCCACAGACCCTCACACACATACCAATGCTCCAGGATTGTCCTGGAGTATCCAGGAATTAAAGATTAATCTTTAATGTGATGAAACCTCCAGAACTATGTACCACCAAAATTGGCAATCCTACACACACACCCCTCTTTTAATAGATCCATAACCTCTGGCTGAATTATTGAAGTCCTCAAATCATAATTTAGAGTAAATGGTGGTCTCTCTCTAAATTTGAGTCTTTAGTTTAAACCAGCTAGTGCCCCATGCCCATGCTGCAGAGGAAGGTGAAAAACCCCAGTGTCTCTTCCAATCTGACCTGGGGGAATGAGCATGTGGGCAAGACCCACCAAGCAGATACCTGGGAAAGAATTCTCTGTAATGACTCAGAGCCCTCCCCAGCTAGTGCCCCATCTCTGGCTACTGAGGATTTTTGCTAGTAGCAGTTGCAGATGGGCCACATGCCATTGTAGGCAATTTCATCATACCAGCCCTTCAGCATTGATCAAGTTCAGTCTTGAAGCTAGTTAGGTTTTTTGACCCCACTGCTCCACTTGGAAGCCTATTCCAGAACTTCACTCCTTTGATCGTTAGAAATCTTTGTTTAATTTCAAGCCTAAACTTGTTGAGGGCCAGTTTATATCCATTTGGTCTTGTGTCAACAATGGCACTTAACATAAATAACTCCTCTCCATTATTTATAGAGAGCAATCATATCTCCCCTCAGCCTTTGTTGGGTTAAGCTAAACAAGTCAAGCTCCTTGAGTCGCCTCTCGTAAAGTAGGTTTTTCCATTACTCTGGTCATTCTAGTAGCCCTTCTCTGCACCTGTTCCAGTTTGAATTCATCTTTCTTAAACATGGGTGACTAGCACTGCACGTAGTATTCCAGATGAGGTCTCGACAGTGCCTTGTATAATGGCAATAACACTTCTCTCTCTCTGCTGGAAATACCTCGCCAGATGCATTCTAGGATTGCATTAGCCTTTTTCACGGCTGCATCACATTGGTGGCTCATAGTCATCCTGTGGTCAGCCAATGCACCCAGGTCTTTCTTCTCCTCTGTTGCTTCCAACTGATATCTCTCCAGCTTATAGCAAAAATTCTTGTTATTAGTCCCTACATGTATGACATTGCATTTTGCTCTATTACATTTTATCCCATTTCTATTACTCCAGTTTTCAACATACTCTAGATCTTCTTGTATGCTATTCTGATCCTCCTCCATATTGGCAATACCTCCCAACTTTGTGTCATCCACAGATTTTATTAGCACACTCCCACTTTTTGTGGCAAGGTCATTAATGAAAATGTTAAATAAGATTGGTCCCAAAACCAATCCCTGAGGAACTCCACTAGTAACCTCCCTCCAGGCTGACAATTCACATTTCAGAATGACCCACTGTAGTCTCCCTTTTTAACCAGTTCTTTAGCCACCTTTCAATTCTCTCATTAATCTCCATCTTTTCCAATTTAACTAATAATTTCCCATGTGGAACTGTAGCAAATGCCTTACTGGAATCCAGTTAGATTAGATCTACTGCATTTCCTTTGACTAAAAAATCAGTTATCTGCTCAAAGGAGGAGATCAGGTTCATCTGGCATGATCTAACTTTTGTAAAACCGTGTTGTATTTTATTCTAATTACTGTTTATCTCTATATCCTTAATTATTTTCTCTTTCAAAATTTGTTCCAGGACCTTGCGTATAATTGAGGTCAAACTACCAGGCCTGTCATTTCCCGGATCACTTTTTCCCCTCTTTCTTAAAAATAGGTTCTATATTAGCAATTCTCCAGTCAGAAGGCATGACCATCCCTCCAGTTTACAGATTCATTAAAAATCCTTGCTAGTGGGTTTGTAGTTTCATGTGGCAGTTCCTTTAGTATTATTCTATGGAGATTATCCAGGTCCTCTGATTTGGTCCCATTAAGCTGTTTGAGTTTAACTTCCACCTTGGATGTGGTAATTTCTGCTTCCATATCCTCATTCCCAATAGCCACCCTGCCACTATTCCCAAAGCTCTTTATTAGCCTTATTAAAAACAGAGGCCATGCCTAGATTATCTTTCATCTCCACTCTCTTCTTAGTGCTTAGCAGCCCCACTTCTTCTTTCCTTATTGTTTATATAGCTATATAACCTTTCACTATTGGCTTTAGTTTCCTTTGCGATATCCAACTCTGTTTGGCTTTTGGCAGTTCTCACTTTTTCCCTAAACTTTCTGTCCTCCAGGAGATAGCTTTCCTTGCTGATCTGTCCCATCTTCCATTCCTTGTAGGCTTTCTGCTTTCTCTTAATAACTCTTGGAGGTGCTTGCTCATCCAGTTTGGATGAATTTTCCCCCCCTGTGCTTGGGATGCAGGTTTCAGATAGCTTCTGCAACTTTGACAAAGTAATTCTAAGCCTCCTGTACATTCATATCCTTGAGTTCTTCAGTCCAGTCCACTTCCCTAACTAATTCCCTTTTGAAATCAAAGGCCTTAGTTGCAGACTTATTTTTGTTTATCCTTCCACTTAGTTTAAACTGAATTAGCTCATGATCCCTAGAGTTGGGGACTGGCTCAGAGGTACATCTATAGGTGCAGGTGTTGGCCATTTGCATGCAAGCATTTATATGTGTCACTGCATTTGTGCCCCTCGATATGGAAATTGAGTCCATAGTGACATTATAAGGACATTAAGGTTAAGTCCAGTACTAAAAAATTAGAAAATGCCAGCCTAAGGTTAGCTTAATTCAGCCACGTGTGTGTATAGATTGTGATACAGTTTTTAGTTACATGATCACATCCTATTTTTCCCACAGGAAAAAAACAGACGCATGCAGGGAGATCTCACACCCTGTTGACTTTCAAACATTCGAGCAAGAAATACCGGGACTGTAAAAACCAAATTCTGCTTGCAGCTGTATTGCACCAACCCACTGAAGTCAAAGCGGTTGCACCCCTGTAACTGAGAGCAGGATTTGGCCCAGTGTTTTCTAACCCATACCCTTGTTTTTCCTGATTCATGGAGTCAGAAGCAGAACCACAAAGCAGCTGCTGAGAGTTGGTTGCTTTATTTTATGGTAAATATTGTTCTGTCACTGCCCTGTAACTCTCCCCACAGACTGTCTGCTCCAGCCTATCCTGAGCTGGGCACTGCCCCAGGCATGAAGATGATCAAGAGAGAGCAACACCGAGTACTGAAGTGCCGATTGCCAAAAACCCTGATGATAGCATCGAACTCATAGGTCCCCACTTAGAGCATAGCCTCCTGTGGTACCCCTTAGCACTTTAGCCCAGCTGGGTGGGTGTTAGGGCCTGTAGCTTCCTTCACATCACTGCTCTGGTTTCTGCTCTCTGTCTAATGGAGGGACCCTCCTTTTAGGTTGGAGGCTATTTCTTCATAAAGAGTTTATTAGATTGTGGAATTGTGGCTTTTTGGCAATCAAGAAAGCCCATCTTGGTCCAGTCCAAAGTGAAGGCAGCAATTAGAAATATAAAAGCAACTCATAACAAATGGAAAAAGAGGGAAATAGATGGCAATCAATATAAATTAGAAGTGATGAAGTGCAGAAAATTGATAAGGGAAACTAAGGACATCAGGGAAAAATCCATGGCTGGCAGGCTAAGGACAATAATGAAGGTTTATTTTAAAAGTATATTAGGAACAAAAGAAATTCTAGCAATGGTACTCCATTACTAGATGGAAATTGTGCACTTGTTAATAATGATGCAGAAAAGGCAGTAGTATTCAATAAACATTTCTGTTCTGTATTTGGAAAAAAGCAGAATGATGTAATCTCATTATCTGAGGACGATGAACTACTTTCCAGTCCATGAGTAACTGAGGACGACGTTAGACAACATCTAGGTATGAACAGGTTTAAAATCAGTAGGCCCAGATAACTTGTACCCTAAAATCCTAAAATATTTGGCTCGAGAGCTTTGTCTCAAAGATAATTTTTTAATAAATCAGGGAAAATCCAGAAGACTGGACGAATGCGAATATGCCAATATTCAGAAAGGTGACGCTCAGGGCATTAGGCGAGTTATCCTGAGTTCAATCCTAGGAACAATAATGGAAAAGCTGATTCAGGATTCCATTAATAAAGAACAGGAATATAACATTTGGCAGTCAACATTATTTGATGGTAAATAAGACGTCAAACAAACCTGATTTTGTTCTTTGAGGAGATTGCAAGTTTGGTTGATAAAGGTAACTGAATAGATATAACAGACAGAGACTTTTGTAACATGTTTGACTTAGTAGCACACAACACTGATTAAAAAATTAGCACTATAGCAATAAAGCATGTTAACTGGCTAACTGACAGATCTCAAAAAGTAGTTGTCAATGGGGAATCATCTTCAAATGGGGTTGTTTCTAGTGGGGTTCTGCAGGAATTGGTACTAGGCCTGATGCTATTCAACATTTTCATCAATGATCTGGCAGTAAATATAAAATCACTGCTGGTACAACTAGTAGGTGACACAGATTGTCAGAGTGGTAACTAATGATGAGGACCGTGAGATCATACAGAGCAACCATTGAAACAAAATGCCAAGTTAGCCATCTAGGGACAAAGAATGCAGACAACACCGCTAGAATGGGGAATTGTATCCTAGAGAGCAGTGAATCTGAAAATAATTTAGAGGATCATAGTGGACAAGCAGTTCAACGTGAGCGGCCACTGCAAAGCTATGGTAAAAAGGGCTAATGTGGTCTTATAAACGGGAGTAGTGAGTAGGGGGAGGACTTTACCTCTGTTACAGCATTGGGGGAACCGAGACTGGAATAATGCATACAGTTCTGGTGTCCACGTTTTAAGAAGAATGTTGAGAAATTGAAGAGGGTGTAAAAAAGAGCCACAAAATTATTCAAGGGCTGAAAAAAATGCCTTACAGTGAGAGATTAAACAGCTTGATTGGTTTAGTTTCCCAAAAAGAAGTTTGGGAGCTGACTTGATTATGCTGTCTGAGTACCTTCACGGGGAGAAAATACGAGGCACTAAAGGGCTCTTTAATCTAGTTGAGAAAGGCATAACATGAACCAATAGCTGGAAGCTGAAGCCAGACAAATTCGAATGGGAACGTAAGGACAAACTGTTTACAGTGAGGGTGATTAACCATGGAACCAACTATCCACGGAAGTGCTGGATTCTCCATTTCTTGATATCTTCAAGACTGGAGGCCTTTCTGGAAGCTGTGCTTTAGACTATTACAAACACAGCTCATTGAGCTCAATACAGAGCAACTGGGTAAAGTTAAATGGCCTGTGTTATAGACTAGATCAGGGGTTCTCAACCTTTATCTTTCTGAGGCTCCCCCCAACTCCACCGCCCAGCTGTGTCACGACATATTTTTTTCTGCATATAAAAGCCAGGGCCGGCATTAGGGGGTAGCAAACAGGGCAAGTGCCTGGGTCCCCATGCCCTGGGGGCCCCGCAAAGCTAAGTTGCTCAGGCTTAGGCTTTGGCTTGAGCCCCGGGTGTGGGGCCTTGAGGCATCAGCCCCATGCAGTGGGGCTTCGGCTTTATCCCTTGGGCCTCAGCAAATCTAATACTGGCCCTGCTTGGCAGACCCCCGAAACCTGCTCACGTCCCCCAGGGGACCCCAGATGTCTGGTTGAGAACCACTGGACTAGATGATCTAATGGTCCCATCTGGCCTTAAGCTCTATGAATCTCTGAAAGCTTAGGCAGGCAAGTCTCATCATGCAGTAGCTTTAGCTCTGGTGACTTACACATCTGTCCACCAGGAACAGTGAGAGTAGCAACCTTTTCAGCTGCATGTGCATTATTAACATAGCACACACTATCTGTTGTGATTTGGGGCAAGCTCTTACTGCCCTAATCCCAACCAGTGTGCCTCACTCTGCTCTGGAGGGCCTCTCCCCATTTTGTAGCTGAACTGGAGTTTACTCTCTGTGGCCTGTTCAGACCTTGGATTCTCTGATGAGGCTGCTAACAAAGGGGGACAGTTAGTGCCAACTGGAGTGGTGGTTTTGGTGTTGTGGCCAATTGTCAACTGGGATTGGAACCCTCAACTAAGTTCACACTGGCCAACACCCCATCCGTTTGAGTAGGGTGTAAAATTTGATTTTACAGTCTGACTTCTCTATAGTCACCACTGAGCTGGGCCAGATTCAAACAGGGCCTTAGAAACAAAAAGTGCTGAATCCCATTTTCCAAGAGCCATCCGGCTCCCCCTGACCTGGGCTTGAATAGGAACTGGTGACTTCAAGGTAAAAGGCTCCATATCCCATTCTGTGATCCAGCCTGTCCCCCTGACCTAGGTCTGACTGGATCCAGTACACTAGTGGGCAAATTCAGTAGTTTTCTCTCCAAAAGCCAGCCAGTCCCCCCTCTCAACGAACTTGAGGCCAGATTGGAGCTGGGGACTCGTGAGTGAAAGGGCTCATATCTCATACCTCAACTCCTGCTCCAGCCAATCATTCCTCTCCAACCAGGGCCCATATTGGGAGCAGCATTCTAAGAGGGAAAAGGGTCTATACTCTATTTCCAGACCCCTGAAGATAAGGCCTACATTTTCACCAGGTACTCAATTCACTTCTAAGCTGAAAGAAAAACAGTGTGAGAGAGTGGGCGCTGTGTTAGACCCCCACTGGAGAGACTCATTGTTACCAGGAGCCAGCACATAGCCAGGCACTGATCCTCTGACTTTTCAGGAGCATCTCAGAGTGCGAGATCCATGTTGGCCTTGGCTCCCTGAGCCTCACATCAGTCCGGGCCATGGTTTTACCTGAGTTGGCAAGGGCCAGGGCCTTGAGTGTGACAAACTCCTCCTTCTCCACCTTCAGCTTCTTGTACCGGCGCACCAGCTGCAGGATGGCCAGGTAGAGCTCCAGCAGCCCCGTCAGGCGCGAATGCTCCTCATCCATGATGTAGTCCTCGGCGTAGACCAGCTTGTCCTCGTAGGGCAGTGAGCGGTACACAATGCCCAGGATGAGGATCTCCATCCAGGCGCTCTGCAGGAGGCTCATCTGGTCCCCCAGGGAGAGATTAGAGAAACCTGACAGGGCAAATGACAAGCAGGGTCAAACTGGGATGGGCTCCAAAGGCTGTATCCCCAACAGCTCCCCAGTTTTTCTGGGAATCACTTCATCTTCCCAATCCCCTGCACATTACATGGGGTCACTGAGCATCTCTCCAAAACCTGTGGTGAGCCTCCCAGCCCAGGTCAATATACTTGAGTTTGTGGGGATTACACTAGCACTCAAAAACTGCTGTGGAGACAGTGCTCTGAAGTTGTGGCCTGGGCTTGAGGTCTAATGCCGCCTCCTCCCCCCCAGGCTTCAAAGCCTGGGCTGCTATGTCTACACACCTATTTTTAGTGTGTGATTGGGAGCCCAAGTCTTTTGACCTGGGCTGGGAAGCTTTTGCTGCCGTGGGCCGTGTAGACATGCCCTGTCTAGGTACTTACATGGCCCTCATCATGTAGTGTCTGGCACCTCTGGAATTTACCCATCTCTCTACTTCCCAGTCCACCTGCAGCCCTGCCTGGAATCCATCCTTTGGGTTCCCCATTTTCCCTTGAGGCACTGTCCTGAATACAGCACAGGCCTCAGGCCACACCATGGTGGGATGTACCCTGACCCTGTTCCTCCTGCAGTTCTGCCTGGCAGGTACTTTGCTCCCCTGTTCCTCCTGCTGTATTTTCTGTAATGCAAGAAGGAGAGTGAGACGAGAGGCGCACTCTGCTCCAGTGTCTGACGTACAAGGGAGTGTGAGAAAGATTTCTCCTGAAATGATCAGACCTCATCAGAAGCTTCTCATCAGAAAAGCAATGAGGGAAAAACTCTGCTGGAGCCTAAGAAAAAGGAGAGAGACGGCAGAGATGACCTCAGGCTCTGTAGCAGCCTGACATTGGATCCCGAATGGACACAGCTGCCCTGTGTCCATTTGTCAGCAAATCCTAAACACAGTCCCTGCCCACCCTGTCAGAGACCTGAGCGGGGTGTCTGTCTCTGTTTAGCAGCACTGGGGCAGCCTGTCCTGGCAATAGAGTTTCAGAGCACTGAGTTGAAATGGGAAGGCCTGAGTATTTCTAAGCAGCAGGAACTTGGTGCAGCATTCTCTCCCCTCCCTCACCTTCAGGCTCCCGCCTTTCTCTCCAACACTGGCTTTTTTTCCCCTCTAGTTTTCTCTCCTAACTCAGCGTCCTCTGCCCCTAGATCACTCTCCTCCTGCAGCCCTGTCTGAGCTCATTAGCCTCTGCCTCCGAGACTTCCCAGCCCGACAGGCTGCGAACTGTGCGCAGCGAGATGCCCTTTATTCCCACAGCCTTCACCGCTCACGTCGCTGTGTCTGGGCCCAGGTAACCAGCCACTGCAATGATCATTTGATTTCTCTTGTTATCAAGTCAGCAATTAACAAAAGAACTGGTGATTGCTGTATTGACCGACTGTAGGTTCTATTTTTCTATCTGTGCTATCTCAGCCCAAGGAAGTGAGGGCAGAGGGATGGGTTAGTCTTATTTATTTATCACTACGCCATGTTTTGTGTTGTGTTGCCAGGGGAAGCAAAGGGTGATAATGGCATGGCAGCCCTTGGACATCCAATTTCCCTTATCAGGCCCCT